TTGGTCGAAGTACTTGCCTGGAAGCATCGGCCACAATAACATCCACAAACAAATGCTCCAAGCCAGCATTTATGAAATTAGTGCGAATTATTTCATCTCTTTCTGTAAAACAAACATCATTCCTGTATAAGTTTCTTTTTAGTATTTTCAACTCTTTTATCCATTCATTTATCAATCAGATTCAAAAGCTAATAAATAATCAAAGACCTCTTAGGACAACAGAGTACCAAAGTAATGATGTGACAAAATGTTTTTTAACTTGACCTCCATATTCTAAAAGTGCATCATTTTTAATGCGATCTTGCTAAAGTTGAATGTCCCAGTTCAACTCATAACGGAGATATAAGCGACCATAGACAAACGTTTATAAATTTACAAACGTTTAGGTATGTGATCACCTAACCATAATAGCGCTTATATCTTCGCTATCAATGGAACGAGGACACTTGGTAGACAGATACTTTTTCCTTTTCCATTTCAACAAATCCAAACAATTTGAAAAAAACGTGACACTTCTATTAGATTAGCCTATTTGATCATGAACATCAATGTCTACTTGATAAATATATTCTTACAGTATTCGACTTTATAATTTACATAGGAATACTTGTATTAGCAGATATCAAGATTCATTCATCAATCCATCACTTCATATATTCATTGCAGCAGAAACCGTTGCATTGTGACTTCAATTTTCAAAGGAAATCGTTGGGAAATCCTTCTGCGACTTGGGGGAGTAGCTTGATACAAATGAGCCTATGACTGAACGAGTTTAGGAAGAGCTGGACCATTCAGATCGCAGGAAGGACAATATCCAAACAAACTTCAAAATGAAGAAGTCGCGATGCAATGATTTACGCACTAAGATGAGTACTTACTTCTCCACTTGCACTTGCTTGATGCACGTGATGATTTCCCTTCAAGGTAAACAAATGAGCAAACAGACAGGTTAATAAAAGAAACGAATGAATGAAACAATGAAAGAAGGGATGGATGAACAGATGGTAGAATGCAACGTTGATTTGAAACATGAATAGATAATGAATGAATTAAAAGGTAGGTTGGACAGATCAAAAGATGAACAAATAAATAAATGGATGAATAAAAAGATGAACAAATGAATGGGAGGATTGAAGGATAAATGAGCAAGTGAAAAGGTAAATCATTGCATTCATGACTTCCATACCCAGCTTCACGAACAAAGCATTGAATCAAGGCGTCAAGGAACACTGAGCACAGTTTTTTTTATGTGCTCACTGTACCTTGATGCCTCGGTTCAATTATGCTTTGTTTGTGGTCACTGTGAATGGATGAATGAATGATTAAATAGAAAATTGTGGTAATTAATGGATGGAATGACTAAGCAACTGAATTAACTAGTACTGATGATCTCTAGCAGTTGTTCAGTAAATGTGAACATGATGTTTTTCAAGGTAATCATCATCACTTGGGGTGAATGAGAGGGGTTGAAGTCATATATGAGTCACACTACCTCTTCCTGTTATCAAGTTTTTATCAATGTCACTACCAAACACTCTTGAACCAAAATGTCCACATGATAATAAAGTACTGCCCGTCCCAACAAAAGGATCAAACACCAGTGTTCCTGGTCGTGCCTGGAAATAGAACCATGACTAATAAAAACAAAATTCTGTTTTTGAAATTTGTCTGCACCCTTGAATAATATACAATTACTGAAAGCTATTTTAGGATGTTTAAATGCAATGTTTTTTTAAAAAAAAAAGGCTGTTATATGCAACACCTGAGGAAGATGAGTCCAAGTGTCGAAAAAAAAACAAAAAGACATTACAATTAGACATCAGAAAATAACTTTCAGTAATCAAATATAATTATCAAAGTGTAATCATTGTAC